AGCTCTGTGTCTCTGCTGAGCAGCCCCCGACAACAAGAAAGGTTAGTGTTTTTCCAGACCGTCTGTATTCAGATAACTGTTGTTATTCTGTCAAAACACTAACCTCTCCTCTGTATCGTTTTAGACACAGTTCCAGCTCTGGACCCGAATCATCAGAAGCTGTTTATTCATTCAATAAACATTTTAAAACCATTCTGAGTTTGTGTGTGGGATCCTCTGCCATCAGATCCCTGACATGTCCTCTCTGGTCCGGATGACATGGCGTCCCAGTGTTCCATAAAGAACTTCAAATCGTGACTCGTCTGACCACAGAACAGTCTTCCATTTTGCCACACTCCATTTTAAATGACCCCTGGCCCAGTGCAAACGTCTGAGATTGTGGAGCTTGCTTAGAAATGGCTTCCTCTTTGCACTGTAGAGTTTCAACTGGCAACGGCGGATGGCACGGTGGATTGTGTTCACTGACAATGCTTTCTGGAAGTATTCCTGAGCCCATTCTGTTATTTCCTTGACAGAGGCATTCCTGTTTGAGGTGCAGTGACGTTTAAGGGCCCGGAGATCACGAGCATCCAGTAGAGTTTTACGGCCTTGAACCTTACGCACAGCAATTGTTCCAGATTCTCTGAATCTTTTGATGATGTTATGCACGGTTGATGATGATAACTTAAAAGTCCTTGCTATTTTACGCTGGGTAACACCATTCTGGTATTGCTGCACTATCTTTCTGCGCAACAATGGTGGAATTGGTGATCCTCTTACCAACTTGGCTTCTGAGAGACACTGACACTCTGAGAAGCTCTTTTTATACCCAATCATGTTGTCAATTGACCTAATTAGTGTTAATTGGTTATCCAGCTGTTCGTTATATGCTCAATTTCCTTTTTCCAGCCACTTATTGCTACTTGTCCCCACTTTTTTGGGATTTGTTGACACTGTGAAATTTTGAATCAACATATTGTTCCTTTAAAATGTTACATTTACTCAGATTAAACTTTTGATCTGTCATCTATGTTATATTATGAATAAAATATTGACATTTGCCATCTCCACATCATTGCATTCAGTTTTTATTCACAATTTGTTTAGTGTCCCAATTTTTTTGGAATCTGGTTTGTATGTGAATGTCTCTGTTCAGTGCCCTGAGGCAACTTCTGTTGTGATTTGGCACTATATACATAAAGTGAATTGAATTGAATTCTGCAGGGGTCACCATAATGAGTAAACTTGCATGAAAGATTTGGCAATGGATAATTTTCAGTCACATGACCTGCTTGATGCACGGGCAGGCAAAATATTGTGGTGCACATCTGTGAGCACTGGGAAGTACAGCAGAGAAAGTGTTAATTTTCCCGCTGTCTCTAGTCAAGACTACTTCAATCACCTACCCATGGAAGACAAACAAAGATATGAGGAAAAAATATGAATGTTGTGGACTTGTGACTGCTCCAACAGCTTTTTTTGTACTTATCTGCAAGCGGCGATGTAACCATGTGATTTTGGATGGTTAAAATGGATTTTAAAGAAAAGTGAAAAAGAGAAAGGGAGGGGCCAGTGAAGAGCACCGGAGTTCAGCAATTTTGTCATCCAGCGTCTTCAGCAGAAAGAGACACCAAGAAACGATAAAGCTGATAAATGAAAATGAGGTAGATAACTTTCATTTATCATGCGATTACTTGATTTAATTTATTGCGACAGGCCTAGGTGTCACTGCCTTGATTTTGTTCATGTTGTTCAAATGCCAATTGATCAAATATTCCTGATCTATTTTTGTTGACTTTATTGGTTTTGAACCAGTTTGACATGACTGTCGACGAGGAAGAGGGCCGGCACCGGAGGAGGGGGAGTGCCAAAGAGACCATCTTAGCACCAACATAACTGGTTTGTTCCACTTTGGAGTAAGCTGTTGGGGGAAGAATCAGTTTTGTGTTGTGCGTTTCCTTGACTGATGAAGCCTTCTGGATGGAAGGTGAAATGTTTCAGCACAAAAAAAGAAACTGTCCAGATGGCCTGACTGAAATTTGTTGGATTCCTGATCTAATGTTTTTTTTAAGCTTGTAGTTTTCCTCTATCAATTCATTGCATTATTTTTGTAAAATTTCAGTTGTGTCCTTCATCTGTGGTTGCTGCTCTGTTGCTCATCATCTGCAGGTGGAAGTTCTGCCACAGCTGAGGAAACGTTAACGTCCTCCCCATCCTTCATCTTTTCCTCCATCTTCTTCTTCTGCAGGCGGCTGGTGTGAAAAGATGGAAGGAAACCAGTGAGGCGACAGCCATCAGATTTGTCACTTGTTCATGAAATAATAAAAAATGCTGATTAACATCAGTGGTTGTGTTTGAATGAACTCATATTCACCTATCAACAATAATTCATTAGATGAAGACTTTAAATTAGCTGTTTGCAGGGACAGTAGTACATAAAAGCCAAAACAGGAGGGGAAGGTTTTTAGTCTTTTGAGCTCTAAACTCCTTTTTTCAAATAGTTATGAACTTTTAATCTGATTTTTTTAATTAATGCTGAGTCTGTCAGAGAACACAAGAGTCAGGGTGGCTTCTGGGTAATACCAGATGGCTAGGCCTCAGACCGACGAAGCCTCTTGGATGAGGGGCGAAACGTTTCTTTTTAACAAAAAAACGAAGTCCAGATGACATGATTCAACCTTTTTTGTTGTTATATACCTGGATGACTGAGAAAACAAACTTTGTGTTTCTGTCAGAGACATTTACTGGACTCATTTTCTATCTGATTGGTGCAGGTAGCTATGCGTACATGAGTTATTACATTGTTTTATACAACTCTGAGAGAGGCGTGACTTTATGTAAAAATATGGTTATCTTCAGTTAAAGCTTCCTGAGTTCATGTTGACAGCATTTAGCCTGCTTTAGCTTTAGCATGTTTTCATCACTATATCATTATATCATAACTCATTCACTAATCTTAAGTACATAAAACCATAGCAATAACGACATGTAAATACACAAATAAATCAAAAACCCCAAAGTAATTGTAATCTTACCTTTGATGAAGTGTTTACAACAAAGACGAGCGTACTTCCATTGTTTAGCCTCCACGGGTAGAGATGCACGTCTAAAGGCACGATCCACAATTTTCTTCTTTGGCTTTTCTGTTTCTGATGGAATCCAGTAAAAGCACACACCTGGCTTTTCTCCAACAACCCTGTCTTTTCGATTAGTGCATCCTATAGAACTGCAACTATCCAGCATTTTGGCTAAGCTACACTTCAAAACGTTTAAAGTATGGCTTGTGCGACTTGGTGGATGGAAGAGCTGGACATGTTTTGTCCTCCAGTGGGTGTTTCCCAGCATCTCAGACGACATGTGAAAACTATCTATTGTTTTATGCCGGATGCCTTTCCTGACGCAACCTGTGCTCGAACCGACAACCTCAGGATTATAAGACTATGTCACTGACCACCGAGCTACCACAGCTTTGTATTTAGATAATTCAAGGGATTAGATAACTTCTAACTTATCAAAACAATGTTTGTGCAAAAAGCAAATAGCAAACAAAACTAGGTTGACATAAAAAAAATTAAGAAATTGGAAGAATTTGGAGCAGATACCAAAATAGAGGTTTCACAGTGAGCTAAGTGGTTGCTCTCTAGGTGTTTGTATCACAGAGCTGTTGCTGTGCTCCCCAGTGACCAGCTCTCCTATCCAGTTCTATAATTGCATTTCTGGGCACACACATGCTCGCACAAAGCAGTGACCAGTGGGTCAATTGCTCAGCTAAATGTGTTTTCCTTCCCTTTGCACAGAGGGTTGAGTTGAGCAGTGCTGGGCTGACCCTGGGCCAGCCCGTATTGCCAGAAGACCACTGGTACCATTACATCTCCCTGGTCACATTCAGCTCTGCTCTCGCAGAACTAACAGAGCTCACACTGGACAGAAGTGCAGTGAATGATGGATGAGCAGAGAAACAAAAGAGGAGACAGACAGAAGGAGGAGAGAACAAACTGCTGTGACTGAAAGTGATGCTGGAGTTGTGAAAGGTCAGTCAGTCCTCAAACAAGCAGGCGACTGGAAATCTACACCATCACACACACACACACACACACACACACACAAACACACACACACCAGCAGCTGTGACCGCCCAGTTTCACCAGCAAACTAACAACCTGCCCTGAATACACCCAGCATAGAACAGCATGAGGCCTGTGTGTGTTTGTACCTCTGAAGCCTCCCTCCAACAAAGCTGTAGCTCTGATCCTCTTCTGCCCCGCCCACTCGTACTCATCAAAGCCCCGCCCATTTTCTCCGTCCATGTCCACGGAGTCCTCGTCAACTAAAGCACCTTCACGCTGTCACATAAGAAACAGACAGGTAGAAGTTTTAACAACAGACAAAACAAGAAATCCATGTTACCTTATATTCTATTTTTTTTTATAATATTAAAAAATTATGAAGGCATGTTATTTACACTTGTATCATAAAGCTGTGGGTTACGGATGACTGGATATCCATATAGCAAGTTTTACTTGCACTGTAAAAGATGGACATTAGCTCTGTTTTACGGGAAAAGACACCTAAGGGTCATTCTGTGCCAAATCACCAAAACAGGTTTAACCCGACCATCTCAGATTTTGATGAAACTTGGAGTACTTGTTAAATGTGACAGAATCTAAAATTGTAGATCAATCAGACCAGTGGTTCCAGAAAAACAGCCCTCAAATCTTCTGATTGTTTGGGGAAATGGATGTGGTCACCAATCTTCAATCCCAATTTTAAATTATTAGACTGAATGGCTTTTAAAAGCCAAACACATGGTTTTCTGCCCCTTTCATTTTTTTAAATGACGGAACTCCATCGCAGCAATGGAAAACATTAATCCACGTCTATTTAATTTTGTTGTCCACCGAACATCGAGGTGAGATCTGGTTATCTGAGATGATAATAGGTTGTCTTGGACAAATGGAAACTGCCATGTGGACCCCTGTATGGTCCCTCAAATTTAGATCTTTGGTAGAATTGGGTGTGGTTGCTGATCTTCAACCCCAATTATCCCATTATCCCGTATTATATTACTGGGTCAATTTTCACAAACTTGGTGTCATTAGAAAGGGAATTTAATGATTAAGGAAAAATTAAACGGGGAAGAACCGTTCACTGTGGTCTTTTTAAAGCCATCCAATCAAATGTTGATCCAGGGATTAAACTGATGCTGCTTTCAACAAATAAAGCAAACCAGATCCACAGTTTTGCACAACCAGAACAGAGCAGGTCATGCTGTCTGATGATGATGAGTCCAGAGCAGAGAGAGAGCAGGAGAGAGCACCAATCGGTGTTTCCAGTACCAGTTCCAGTGATGACATGTAATAAATGTTTTATGTCTACATATTAAACGGACTGTCTCTCATGGTGAGAGAGGAGGCAGTGTCTGCTGTTTTAGTTCTATAAGGCTAAATATAAGGCTTATATAGTTCTTCTCTTTTTATATTCTCTGTTATTTTTTTATATCTTGTGTGTGTTCCTTTGTACTGAAACTCTGGCACAACAATTTTCTGTGGGATCAATAAAGTTCTATCTTATCTTATAATTAAACAATAATAATGTTAAAAGATTAATATTTATGCCCCTGATTATAACAAAGATATGAGTCTCTGTTTAACTTGAATTTTCCACCAAACGCATGAAGTGCTCTGTGAGAGTCAGTTTCATGTGCTTGTAGTTGATCATAAATATCTGCAGAATTCAATTCTACGTGGTGTTTTAACAACAAGGTGCTGTGGCTGTTGAGATGCAGTAAACTTGATTATATTTAGACCCATTCTGAGAGGCAACTCTACCGTGATAAATGCAGTTTAATAGTGGTGTAACAGTACACGTGGGTGTATTGAACCATTTCGGTACAGCATGTTCGGTTCGGTCCACGTGCGTACCGTTTCGTTTTTTTTTTTTTTCACTTATTAAATTTTATTAACGAGAGATTATGTGTAGAAGAACTAGTTCCTAAGCATGTTTCATTAATTGTTGCATAGCCTTGCAGCACGCGTAGCATTAGCAGCCTAGCAGGAGGCCCTTGCATCTCGTTGTGGTCTCCTGTTTGGGAACATTATGGCTTTCTTGTTAAAACTCAACAATGGGAGAAGACAAGTGGACAAATCCAAAGCTGTGTGTCGACGTTGTTTCACAGAGATTGGATCTGCAGCAGGCAACACGTCTAACTTGTTAACGCACTAGAAACGACATCAGCCGAATGTGAACGTCTCTTCTAGCAGCTTGGTGCAAACACCGATAACAGCAGCATTTAAACAACCTTTATCAGGTAATTCAGATTGGTCCAAAGCAATAACACAAGCTGTAGGAGTTTTTAAAGCTTTGGTTCTATGTCTGTATTCTGTTGTTGATGCGCCGGCTTTAAGCATAAAGTTCTTGAGCCCCGCTACGACATCCATCACGTCAACACTTCAGCCAAAAAGTTGTAGCAGCACTTTATGAAAAAGCTCAAACTGACATTGTCAACAAGCCCTGGACCAGATTAAAGCCCTGCCCTGATGATGATGAGCAAGAGATTCAACCACTTCATAAGAGAAATGATGACCGTGCAAGAAGAGGTATTGTATTGTATTATTGTGATCTAATTAACTTTTTAAATTTAAAATTATAATCTTATTAACTCAATTTTTTTTAACCTCTTTGTTTTTGCAGTCTGAGGATATCAACTAGAGCTGAGCAGCTGAGTCTTTTTCCTCTTCAGGGAATTTTTTTTAATAATTTTTATACAAACGTACTTTTTACTTGGCATATTTTTGAAATAAACGTTATGTAAGTCTTTATTTAGGCCTTTTTTGTACTGAAAATTAACTGAACCGAGTCCGCCATGAAACTGAACCGAACCGAAATGTGATTTTAGCGTACCGTTACACCCCTACAATTTAATATATGATTAAATATGAAAAATAAATAGTATTAAATTACTATATGAGCTGAAACCTTGTCAATTAGAATGAAATGGTCATTTTAGGGGAGAAATCTGTCTGCAAAGAACTTCATGTGCTAATTTTTTTTTAATACATCTGACAATACCCCAATCAAAAACACTGAAATGACAAAAAAGTAAACTACAGAAGTTGTTATAAACCCATGTCTTCCTTCAGAATGCCACTGATCTTGATATTGCAGGTTAAAGTCTTTTTACTAGGGTGCCGATTTATTGGCGGCCGATTTATTGGCGGCCGATTTATTGGCGGCCGATTTATTGGTGGACGATTTATCGGCCCCGATTTCCTTAATTTTGGGAAATCGGCTGATACTTGCATGAGAAACCGATTTTACCATTTTTTTTTTGTTTGTTTTAACAACAATAGTCTGAACTTCATTTATATTTCAGAGCACTACCTCATGGCCAGTTAAAATAAGTTTGTATTGTTTCTAGGATATTGTTCAAGGCATTTTTTTTTTTCAGTGAAATAATATTGGAAAATTGAAGGTGCATTGTGACCTTATAACACCTGACAGTGTCACATATGAAACAAAACAAAAAAACCTTTAAACATGCTGCTGTCCAGCCTCTCCTGAAAAAACCAAACCTTGACCCCTCAGTCGTATCCAACTTCCGGCCTGTCTCCAAACTCCCATTTGTTTCCAAACTACTGGAGAAAATAGTTGAGTCCCAGTTCAAGTGCTTCCTGGAGGGTCACGCTATCTTAGAGCTATTCCAATCTGGCTTTAAACCTCTCCACAGCACTGAAACTGCCCTATTGAAGGTTTTTAATGACATCTTCAGATCCACAGATACTGGTGATTCTGTGCTGCTTGTCCTATTTGACCTCACAGCCGCCTTTGTCACCATCAACCATTAGATCCTCATTGCTAGGTTAGAGAAGTGGGTGGGCGTCACAGGGTCAGCCCTCAACTGGTTCAGATCCTACCTCGCTGACAGATCCCTTTTGTGTCTCCATCAAGGATTTTAGTTCTGCAGCGGCAGAGCTTAAATGGGGGGTTCCGCAGGGGTCCATCCTGGGTCCCCTCCTATTCTCTTTATACTTGCTACCACTTGGTGCTATTTTCCGGAAACACAACATACCCTTTCATTTCTAAGCCGATGACTGTCAAATTTACTTCCCCCTAAGACACAATGGTACATGCTCTAATCAACCTCTGCTCGACTGCCTGGCTGACATCAGGGACTGGAGGGCTTTAAATTTCTTAAGTTTCAATGAAAAGAAGTCTGAAGTCATGTTGTTCCCTCCCAATGACATGATCACAAACTACTGCATCGACCTTTCCGCTCTAACCCTGTCAGAAAAACAAAGAGTCACTAATCTGGGTGTGATAATGGACCCTTCCCTGAAACTTAACAATCATGTAAACATGATTGTTAAATCATGTTTCTTCCAACTGAGACGGCTGTCTAAACTGAAGCCCATATTGTCCAAAAACCTGGAGACAGTAATACATGCATTCATTAAATCTAGGCTTGATTACTGCAACTCGCTCCTGTTTGGTATCAGACATTGCACGACTACAACTGGTCCAGAATGCAGCAGCCCGATTTTTAACCAGTACAGGCAAAAGAGCACATTACACCAGTTTTGGCCTCACTGCACTGGCTACCGGTTCACCTTCGAATCCAGTTCAAAATACTCCTGTATGTCTACAAATAGCTGAACAGTACCCCCCCCCCCCCCCAAAATCTCTCTGATCTGCTACAACCGTATGTCCCACCACGTTCCCTGAGGTCAGCGGACCAGTTGCTCCTCACAGTTCCAGGAACTCGTCTTAAGCGCAGCGGTGACAAGGCCTTCTCTGTAGCAGGACCAAGACTTTGGAACGAGTTACCTCTGCTTGTCAGACAGGCCCCCCTCCCTCTTGGTTTTCAAATCCCGTTTAAAAACCCACTACTATTCAGTAGCTTTCAACACCAGATGATATGTGTTTTGAACCTGTATGCTCCACACTAGTTAGTCGTCATATTTATTATCTGCATCGTTTTTATGTCTATATTCTGATTTACCTCATTTTGTATATTGCTTTGTGTGTTGCCTGTTGTTCTGTCTGTACAGCACTTTGGTTGGCCTTGTCGCCGTTTTAAGTGCTCTATAAATAAAATGGTATGGTATGGTAAAATTGGTATCGGCCAAAATCAGAATTGGTAGGTCAGACTTTTTAGAAATCGGTGATCGGTCAGAAAACTGCAATCGGTGCACCCCCTACTTCTTATAAGTTACAATTTCAGTACTTCATTAGAGAGCACTATACTGTGTACATTTACTAAGGTCATGTACACAGTAGTATACGACTTTTTATGTGAAAAACTTTGAGAAGAGACCAGTATGCAGAAAAAAAAAATCAGTCAAAATATTATTTTCTTCTTTAATCTCGGTCTTAAATACACTGCGAGTGCCTTTCCTGCAAAGTCTGATGAGAACGAGGAAGTTCCACTCCAGCAGCTCCTGAAAGTGTCTGCCACTCACAAGATGGCTGATTGAGAACATTTGTATATAGTAAACTCTGTATATAGTGCAATAAACTTCTTAAATTGTATTACTCTTGAGATTTTTTTGCCCTCTTTATTGTAAAGGTTGCAAACAACCCAAAATGTTGACGGACAACAGGAAGTTTTCTGCTGGACATCCTGGAAAATGTCCTCATGTCCACCCTGCATATCTTTGGAACCACTCGTCTAATTGACTTAAAATTTGAGATACTGTGCTGTGGGATCACAATTGACAAATAAGCCAAGTTTAAACTAAATCTGAGATGGTCGGGTCAAATTTTTCTTCTTTGGGGGGTGATTTGGCACAGAATGACCCCTAATCATTATTCGTTTTATATGAATGGCATGAGTTTACTGAAAATGTAAAATTCATTAAAAATGTTCAACCAAATGATTAGTCAAACATGACCCTATTAGATACATTCATATTACATTATAACAACACATAGCAGAGTGGACTCTGTCAGATATCTTTATTTAAACATTTTCATGGCTTCAAAGACAATAAAGAAATTCAAGCAACAACAGAAAAAATGAACAGAAAACTAGAACTAAATTCTGTGAGCAAGTTGTATGTCTAAAGCGTGCTAAGGAAAAGAAAGTATTAGTATGATGTGACTGTAAAATACCACCATGGAAAGGAAGTTAGGAGGTGGAGCAACAGCTGCTATTTGTTTGTTTCTGCAACTACAGGAAGTAGAGAGATGAGTGGAAGAGAAGAGTAGATAGGCAATCCAATTGTCGCTAGGCAGGGTTCTGGGCCCAGATTGTACTACCTGGATCAGGCATTGTTCCACATGTCTACTCATCTCCTCCTCGCTCCCAGCCAGTGGGGCACTGCACAGCGGACATACCTGGCCCCCATCCTCAGGCTTCCTCCTCTTCATCTTCCCTATACGGGCTGGACGAGCACAAGTGGTGAAGAGAAAAAGGAAAGGGGAGACAAATGTTTAAGCAGAATGTAATTCACTGCTTTCCACAGAGGACGTCAGGTGTGTTTATTTCAATTTGCAGGAATAATCCATAATAATAAATGGATAAACTCATCTGTACAAACCTAGTGAGCATAATGAAGGATGTGGCTAAACTTGCCACCTTCTGGAATATGTTCAGAAAAAAAAAACAGCAGGAAGAGGAAACAAATCTCAGCCCTCTTTCTTTACAGCAGGATCTTTACCTTGTCCTCCTTTTGTTTCATCCTCATCCCCTCACCTTCTCTCCTGTCACAGCTTCACCCAAGCCCTCCACCCACGCATTTAATTAGAAATTTAACAGGGCTGAACAGCCGTCACTGCACCCTGACTCTGTCGTTTTTCCTTAACTGCAAATGGCGCACAGGGACATTAATTTTTAGCTGGCTGGGAAAGCAGCGGAGGCCAAGAGGGACTGTGGGGACGGACAGAGGGAGAGGAGGAGGAAGACGGAGAAGACAGTAACTACAGCATAATGAAGGAAGTGAAGAAGGGAGGGATGGTCTCTTCCTGACACTAACTGAGAGAAGTTTTGTCATAAGAGACTAAAAGTCTGCTAATGAAGTCCTGACCTCGCTCACATCCTGACGCTACTTTTCCCCACGTGAAAGTTATTTGACTTCTCAAGCAGTTAGACTTCAAAACTGAGTCTTCAAAGACTCAACTCATCACAGAAAAGTCATAAAAGACTATTTCAAATGTGATGGTGAGCACAATTAATGAACTGATAATTACTTAATCATTCAAATTCAAAAAAGGTTTAGAAAATTAAATTAAAAAAAAAAATGACAGTGCTGGTTGAAAGAATAATTTATAAACAGCTGCAGCCATGGAATAAAAGACTTAGTGGTTGTAAAACAAAGTATTGATCCTAAAATGAAATGGAACAGACTTTTTAAACAATGAAATTACAATTGTCTTGTTTTGTTTAATAAACATAAACTTGATCTGTGTAAACTAATTCATAGGCATTGGAAACGTCACCAGTTTGTGTCATATTTCCCATAATCACCTGGTTTTTAACATCAACATTTAAAGTGACGGTTTAGTTTTACTGCATGTTCATCTTAAAATCAGGCAAATGTGACTTTTTACAACAAGAGCACAAACGTCATTCAGTGGCTTTTCGCATCGAACGCAACGTTTTGCTCTGCACTTTATTTTGAAAAGTGACCACTTCCTGTTGGTGCCTCTTTCCTCATTCATTTGTTTCACAGTGGCCATCCTACAAACTAACCTCAGCTATAAACAAGTAAAACTAACTTCCTGGTTGTGGTACAGTTGTTTTGTATGAAAACAATTTGTTTCAGTTATATAGCCTTAAAATTATTTCTCAAGAAAAGTTGCAACAGAATGCTTTACATGATGCTAAAACACGTGTCTGCCATATTGGACTAGCTTTAGATCACTTTAACCCCTAAAAACAATTCAATTTGGCAGTTCCCAGATTTACACACGTGCTTTTATGTCTAAAAAAAACCAATTTGCATTAAAAAACAATGTGCGCAATTATTGACCTTTTTAGTTACGACTGTGCATGTGAAACATCTGGCACCGATTGATCAGAAAGGTTGAGTTTAATATACAAACATGTTAATATTTAGAAAACATCTGTGGAGCCCTGTTCTTTTGACAGACCACCAAACTAAAAATACTTTCAATAAAATATTGATTAAAAAAAACAAAACGGCTTTTAAAAGAATTGAGCATCCTCAGTAAATTGAATTTTCTACTGATCTCATAGTGTTCACGTGCATTTTATTATTTTTATTTACATTTTATGTTCCTGTTTTAAGTATTTTACATCGTTGTATAATGCAGCTTGTTTTTGTTTCATTTTTATATTATTTTTATTTACTTTTCATTTTGCATGCTTCTCATATAATTGTCTACTGTTGTCATCATTCTTTGATAAAAACAGGTCTTTCTTGTAAATGAGTCCTTGTGACTAACTTGTATAAATAAAAGATGAACGAATGTGCAAAAAGTTGTTAAATTCAAAGTATGCATTTTTTAAATTGTATTCTCAGAAACCAAAGCAGAGGAATAAATAGTTGATTAATGGCGTTTTATTCAAGTGAACTGTGTTCTGCTGCATCAGGAGTGTGTGTAAACACAGGTTTTAAAAGATGTGTACATACCATTCAATCTTGTTTGCCTGTTTGCCCGAACCCGTAAAAATGTCTGCAAAAGATAAAAATAAAAACAGGGGAAATGTTGGTTAGATAATGAGGAGACAGTCTTACGTGTTTACAAGTGCATGAACAGTTGTTCTGAATGGGATTGCAGTGGATACTGGGGGCTTGTCGACTGAGAGCAAACAGTAAACATCAACACATACATCTCTCTTGTTCTCCAGCTCCTCCATGACTCTCTGACACAACTCCTTCAAAAGACGCTAAAACTCACAGCTGTAACGCGGTTCCGCCTGTCTCCAAATACTGAACATGACGACAAACTCAACACTGTGCTTACAATTTATTACGGATGGAAGAGGATTGAAACTGGCGCCTGTGTCGGCAAACAGAGCGGCCATCCGACGCCATGTTGGTTTGTTTTGATCACGTGACCGCGGCTGAAACGGAAATAGGTTTACGTCACTTGTTATCTTGCGTCTTGGACACTAGAGGGCAGCAAAGAGTTTAACTGCAGTTTTTCAAATCATACAAATAAATTATTATTATTATTATTATTATTATTATTATTATTATTCAAGCATACAACTTGTAGGAGGCTTAAAAATATCACATCTAAAGGCACAGTTTTCTTATTAGTAAGTAATTTTGCAAAACTAGTAAAGGTTTTTTTGTTTGTATTTTATTGTAATTAGTTATTTCTCAATATCATTATGAGTGTGAAGAGTTGTACATAAAGGACCCAGATATCCCTTGTCTTTGCAAACATACGAAGTTAAAAGGTTATTAAGGTTTATGGTTAAACTTTGTCAATATCAGTTGCATTTATACACTCAAGAAATGTGAGTTGAACCAAAGTGTTTTGCAGTAAAATGTTAACAAATAAAATGAAAACTCATAACATCCTCTTTAAAGTTGAATTGCCCTTTTTTGTATGTGGATCCTGGAACACTGTGAACATTTGGTTAACATTTTGGTCTACCTAAAACGATGCAAAACTTCCTATCCAGACTGGATCCAGGCTTTTTTAGAACCAGAAATAAAGTCTTAAAGTCTATCTTGAACAAACATCAGACCAATAAGAAAAAGCCGACACCAGTGGTTTTTAGTATAACATTAATTATTTTAAATGATTAGCTCCTTCTAAACGCTCAGTTTTACTTTACTATTTATTGTAAAATATCTAATTTACTGTCAAAGCATAACCCAGCCAGCACAAACTTCCCTTGGAGTTGGAATAAAAATGAAAAATGTGACATGTTCTCACAATTCTAATTGAGTAATTATACTCAGTTACTTTATTTTTGCAGCAACGGTAGACAATTTCTTTATTCATATGTTTTTTTTTATAAGAATATCTTAAATATTAAGGATCCTAGCTAGTACAGGTTGCCTGGGGTAAATTTCTTGCATCATTAAAAATAATGACCCTAGCAATAAAAGTACAGTATTATAAAATTAATTGAGGTCAGATTCATCGGTCCTTTCCACCACTTTTTCTGATAAAATATACATTTCAGGTCTACAGGGATTCAAACCCTAAGGCCTGTATTTTGTAACTAAATGCTGACTAAAGCACCATGTCTCTGTTATGTTACTGATATATCTTTAACAACTCAACTACCATTACTGGAAACCATAGGGCAGTATTCCCCTCCTCCTCCATTCTCCCTCCCTCTCTCCTGGTACTTGACTTATAGGCCTATACCGGCTTCACATCACCGCCTAATCATTGTGATTCACTCACTGAATAGGTCAAATAGGTGAGGTATTCAAAGAAGAAGGAGGCAGATCACACTCAGATTGACTGGCAGAGAGGAGGTGGCAAAGTCTGCCATTATACTTTATTTTCAGGGTGCTGAACAGAGTGACCATTGACTTTATCATTTGTGTAATATAAGGTGATTTCAGCAGTTTCACCAAATGAGAAAATCTCCTTCATTGCTGGAAGGTCTTTATGAGCTGTGTCATCTTAAACGTATGTCTGCATGAACTTAATAGTTCTTATTTTATGGTGGTGTGGGGGGAAACCCACTTAACCCTGAGATTCATCACAGCCAAAAGAATTACTCGAACAAACTTTGATGAATAAAACAGATAAAAGCAGTCGGAGCACAGATTAAAGGAGAGCGGCCTGTTAGTCCACTTAACTGCTGAAACAGCATAAAAATCAGAATCTCCCTTAATATTCTACAACAGTGATATGTGCCATAATTACAGAAAGCCATATTTGATTTAATACTTAATTTTATGATTTTCTAAACTGGTACCGCAGCCAACATATTAATGTTACTAATGTCCATTGCATTTTAAGTTCTGCTTATATACAAGGTAATAACACAGTTTGAGTTAAGCTTTGGCAGCATTAGTGGTTTGTCCAATTCAACAATGTCTCATGTTCAATGAATAAAACAAACAGAAAATTAACAAATATCCAAGTTGTTGCTTTTCTTTCAGCTGCTCCCTTCTTCAAGACACTTGCATGAAGGAGATGGCAATTGTTTTACGCCGGATGCCCTTCTTCATGCAACCTGGGCTCAAACTCTCAACCAAGTGTTGTTTAGAAATATCCATCCATCCATCCATCCATCCATCCATCCATCCATCCATCCATCCATCCATCCATCCATCCATCCATCCATCCATCCATCCATCCATCCATCCATCCATCCATCCATCCATCTCAGGTCATGGGGGGTCACTGGTGCCCATATTCAGTATTTACTGTGCCAGAGGCAGGAGAGACAGGTCTCCAGTCCATCACAGGGACACATAGAGACAAACGAGACAAACAATCATTCACTCTCTCACTCACACCTAGAGACAATTTAGAGTTACCAATCAGACTAACATGCATGGTTTTGGTCTGTGGGAGGAAACTGGAGTGCCCGGAGAAAACCCATGCATGCACGAAGAGAACATGCAAACTCCACCCAGAAAGGTCCTGAGCCAGGATTCAATCCGGTGATCTTCTCACTGAGAGTCAACAGCTCTACCAACTGAGCCACGTTTAACAAATCCATATGCAAAAGTACAATATTTTTCCCATAAATTATTTATTACTAAATAATACATCATATCATAACATCTACATAATAAATACATTATGTAGATGTTTTTATTACTTTAATACGTGATTCAATACATTGAAAAAGAAGCATATTTCATACTACCTTTTTTATGTACCAACTGACTAACAAAGTGAACTATAAGTAGTTTATCTCACCTGGACTGGTTGGTTAATTAACTCTGCCTATCACCACAGAGACGAAAGCATCATTTATTATTAATGATGTGCAGAATACGGCACTGTAAACCTGATGGCTGTATAAACCCCAGAGTGTAATTAAAATTGCATCACACATCTCTGTCTACTAAAATTGTAGAAATATGAAGCAAAAAAATAAAAAAAATAAATCATTTTTATGGGCGCTGCCATATTTTAGATTTGAAACCAGGCTGTGCACCCTTGGGTGTGGGGCTGTACCAAGGCTGTATAGAACCGACACACCAGTGCACAATTATGATGTCATGTGACTTTTTTGCTAATAAAAAGAAAAAATACAACTAAATATATTAAATATTTGAACACCCAACATCGAGGTAAGAAAGCAAGCACCTGGAAAAATATCTGAGTTGTATTTTAACTCAGAAAAATGTCCCATTTGTGTACATGGAGAGGTGGAGCTTAAAATTTATACTGGGTCCACCCCATTAGGAGGAGGAGCTCATTTTTTTAACTTCAACTTCTGGGTGTGTGTCCTCTGTCCATGTTTTTCTACAGTCATTGCTGTAAACATAAAATGATTTAAAGTGCTGTAAAAAATACACTTGAACTTTAAAACTTGACTTTACTGGAAACAGAAATGAATGTTTCCAATCTTCACTAACTCAAGTTGTGTGTCTGTGTGTGTGTGTGTGTGTGTGTGTGTGTGTGTGTGTGTGTGTGTGT